AAAACAACATTTTATTTTATCTGCATGCATAATCTCAATCTAGAATCTTATTTCACAATCATATTAGTTATGGTATGTTGGCATTTCTGTAAACTGTCAAATGTTCAGTCAGTCTAATGCACAATCCCTGGTACAATGGGATGGAGTGGCTGCTTTGAGTGTACTTAGACATTGATCTGTTGATTTTTTTAAATTTGGGTATAAAATGCAAAGCTATTTAGGATTATCTGAAGCAGATAACAGAGGAAACAAGTGGGAGACTGTAGAGTGTTACATAGGACCCAATGGCACTCCAAATAAAGGTGGTTGGCATTTGCTAAGAGGAAATTCATGAACATCATTGTTCCTTGAATATATTGTTGTATATCCAACAATGGTATCTGCCTGACGAATTCTTCTTATGGTAAGCTGTAAAAATTATGTTGCAGATCATTTGTAATGAAAGCATAGACAATCAATAGTGTGGGTAAAGAGATAAGAAGTAACTTGTGTTAAATCAAACAAAACAAAACAAAAACACCAAACTAACATGTCGTTTGGTTTTTATTAGACAACTTTTTTCCCACTTGAATAAACCTGTTTTCAGCAAAGAATATGAAGAGGAACAACGACCAAAAGAGCCCCATTCTTGACAGCAAAAGACTGAAAGTAAAAGCACAAATCAAGCTTCATCACACACCCCCCCCCACCCCCCCCCCCCCCCCCCCCCCCCCCCCCCCCCCCCCCCCCCCCCCCCCCCCGGTGGTAAAAGGAGTTTGGTCCAGCTATCACATATTTGCACTTGAAAAGTCTATGCTTATCCACAGAAATGGTTTACTAACCCATTAGTAAATGTTAATACATCTGTCTTTTCTAATGCATTTAAAACTACTCTAAACACAGAATAAGATTCATTTGTCTCTTAATGACTACAGCCAGTATTTTTTAAAAGATCTTTGAGAAGGGTTTTGTCTAGAATCAACTTTATCTTTTAATTACTTGCATTTTAATAATTGTAGTGGATGGATTTTTCTTCTTTACACTATTATTGATAGAGTAAAACGGCTTTTTCCCACCCAAGGTTTTCCTTAATCACAGTTCCCATCCAAGAAGTTTCCTTGAAACATCTTTGTTTGTTTGTGGTTGCATTGAAACTTCTACATCAAATATGCATTTCCTATTATTCAAATACATTGAATGAATTTGCTAAACCTTCATAATGGATAAGCAAAGAGGGATAAGCTAATGAATTTTCATTTATAGTCTGTACATGGACAAAAAAGGCCAGCAATAAAAAAAGCAAACCATCTAGGCAGAAATTAACTACACACGTCTGTACATAAAGGTTTGCAGCCAAAAAGTGTCAAAATTCCAGCCACCTTAAGGAATCCAACAAAAGCTTCAATCCCAACTAGCAGAAAAACCAAGACTCACCACAGCAAAACTATTGCAAAGCACACACCCTTGGGTCAGCCACATGCCCTTCTCAACATCAAAGGCCCCGAGCATAGGCTAAAACAAAACATAGGCAAAAGTCACAAAAATTCAGCCACAAACGCAAATTTGACATAATGCAACAACATCACAAAATTGATTTTGACAATGATTTTGATAAGAAAAAAAAATCACAAATTTCTCAACTCAAATCTACTGCAGACTAGTCCACTCTCTACACTTCTCCTCAACGCCATCGCTAAAACGCTCGCCACACGCATAGAAAATCCTCTTTTCTGTGCTGTCTGTAATCATTCAAGGACTTTCCTTTCCCATCATCTGTATCGTCACTCTCCTCCAACTCCCTCAAGAAACTTCAGCTTTGTAAACCCGTGGGCGGGAGGAAACCCAAAAGCTCACGAGTTCAAGGCTGATCTTCTAGGGCTCAAGAAAGAGGAAGTGAGGTGGAGATTGAAGCGATAGGGGGCTTCAAATAAGTGGAGAGAGGAACGTATAAAAGGAAGACAAGAAAAAGAGAGAAAAGATGGAAGCAGAGACAGATTAGAGAAAGAAGAGGTGGCAATGGAAATAAGGAAGAGATAAGATAAAGATAAAAATTAAAGAGGACAGAGGCAAAAAGTAAAGAAATGATAAGATGGAATGGAAAGAGAGAGGGATGATAAAAAGTGAAGAAGGCATGATGAAAGGTGCAGACAGATAAAGGCAGAACGACTTTAATTTTGAAAAGTTTAGAAAGTCTTAAAACGACAATTAAAAGGAAACGGAGGGAGTACAATTTTATTTGATTCCTCTTTATGGAAATTAATTTATTTTTCTCCTTTAGTTATACTTATGCTCTGCTTAACTTAAACTGCATTACCAAGCACCATTAATGGGATATTTTCACTCTTGTGTTTTTTAAATATTTTCTTGATTTACACCTACCCCTATGTAAGAACATAATTTGTGGTGAATTTTGAGCTTAGTGGGTTTGGACCAATATGGGTAAACTTAGATATAGGGTAAAGTTATTTAGCAAGCCCAGAAGGAAGGCCCAAAAAATAGAAAATTAAAGGAGATGCCCACTAAAGAGTCCAGCCTAGCAAGGGAGAAAACATGTCTCAGACGTTTTGTGTGAACGGGAATTTAACAATTGTGTTCAGGATTTTTAAAATTCAATAATACTATGTCCACAACCTTCTCTCACAATCTTTGATGTGATAACTTATCATTTGTTAGCTGATTAATGGGTAGATGAGACTTATACAAACAGGTAGAAAACATTTTACGAACTGATCAATAACGAGCTACCACGTTGGAGATTGTGAAAGAAAATTGTAAGATTGGGTTGTAAATCTAGCATTACTCTTTAAAATTTTATCTCTAAGATCGATATGACTATAAAAGCATATAATTTTAGGCTTTTAGCTAGATGGGATCAAATTTTTTCCTTGATAGAATTCTCAGTAATTAATACAAATTCTCTTTTTTATATTCAATCCAAACAAGTTCAAGTAAGCTATAAATTAATTTTAATTCTAGAGGATCAATACATCAATTACTTTCCATTCCTCTTTCTTTTCCATTGTGTTATAAATTTCCTCAGGACTCCAATTTATAGACACTAGGTTGTGTTTGTTTTATCACTTGACACTTAAATGGATTTTAGTGTCACATAATAATCAATAGTCTTAAGATATATTTAATGTGTTTGTTTTTTAAAATTAATGATATCTAAATTAACTTTTATATTTATATTTACTAGTATAACCTTATATTGATTATTTAATATTCTAGGCTATAGTAATAAGCTTAAATTATAATATAATTTTATAAACTATATTAATAATTAGTTACGACCGTCGGTAACTAGTGACCGGAAGCATAAAGACAATAAAATCTATATTAAAATGATTGTTATTTTTTAACGATCGATCTATCTATATAAATTTTAATTGAAACAGAGGTCTAGTTTGACTGCGATATGATAAAGGAAATGCGGCCACCTGAATTTTCTTTGTTAGATCTCAGCCAAACACCGCATCCATTGTCAAAACAAATCGTTGGAACTTGGAATAGAGAGAGTGTTAAAATATGATTATTTTGACACCAATATTGTTGTTAAGTATAGTCGGAAAATTGTGATGGTGTGAAATTTCTGTGAAATGTGTCCTTAAATGAAAGTGAAATAGTAAAAGGAAGCTGAGAAATTGTGAGCGTAAATTGCTGTCATCCAAAACCATACTCAATTTGACAAGTTGACTCTTTTTTTCAAGTCTATTCTAGCTCCCACCTTTTTGACTGACCATAAAAGATCAATTGTATTACTTATTTATTGACTAGTCAAAGATCGAATTTCATTTCCGTGCAATTTCAATTATATGTTTCTTTCATTCATGCTGTTGTGTCTCAGTTTGAGTGTGAATTGCATTTAACCGGCATCATAAATCACCTCTATCAATATTGTTTAGCTTTTTTTGTTTAACAATTTACTAATGGTCTGCATATTCCATGTGTGGTTATACTATTATAGAAAGCATTAATAAAGGGAAGAGCTTTGTTTATTTAAATTATCTCTGGGTGGTCGAGTAATTCGATAAAGACTCTTGAGTGTATTATTTAAGAGGTTCTGAGTTCGAGTTCCTCCTTAATTATTAATAGAGGTAATCACCGGAACTCTTATCTGGCCGGTAGTTTTAGAGTCCCAAAAGGTTATTTGATCTTTAGTAAACGTAAACTGACCCAGACACACTGATTATTAAAAAAAAAAAAGAAAAAAAAGAGCTTTATTTATAAATCTATTAGCTCAAAAACAAATTCATTTTATTGCAAAATAGAAGACATTTATTTATAAAACTGTATATAGAAAAAGTTATTAACGGCATTTTTAATTAAAACAGACTTGTTGACCAAGCTTTACCAATCGTTAAATTCCTTGGTCAAGCTGATTTTTTCTGTTAATATCTACTCATATATATATATATATATATATATTCTCTCTCTCTCTCTCTCTCTGTCTTTAGACTTGACCAAATTTCCCACATATAAAGCCAAAAGTTGTGGCTGCATAGAACAAATGAGCACAATCAAATTTATTTCCAAGTTTGACCATTTTATCGGACAATCAATCTCACTCATCCAATCAAATAACAACTCACATCCAACGGCTCAAACCACTTCCTTTACTTATTATTCAAGATGGGACCCACCCAAGTCTTTATCACAATATATTAATCTTCCTAATTAAGAAATCTCAATTGCAAGAAAAGTAGAAATAAATTGAAATTAACTTAGACCGTTGATGGAGGGCAAAGATTAGGTTAACAAAAGTGAAGATGAAATGGTCAGAAGATCGGAAGGATTGAAATCAATTTCAGTTGGATAATAAGATCGAACCGGAAGTAGAGAATCAGTAAGATAATATTTTATTACTCATCTTCTAGCCGTCTTCATTGCACCAACGTTGCAGCTTCTTCTTTTTCTTCAAACTCATACAACACGTACCCTCAAAACGCGTTCTACGCCTGAGAAAACTAGATAAAGAGAAAGGGAGAAGAGCGGCCAAGAAACAAGAAAGAAAAGAGAGAACTTGAATTGGATGCAGAGGGTTTGAGTCTGAATTTTTATAATTATCTTCTCCAATTTCAATGGCGGAATCTGAATGTTTGTGTCGACCACCCCAGAAGAAGCTTTTATCGGACTCGGATATGGCTGCGGCGGCCGAGCAGCTCATGCAACTAAGCGATGAAGATTGCAACAGCTGCGAGTACAAGAGCAATGATAAGGAAACAAAGAAGAAGAAGTTGGGTGATGGAGAGTATATGCGAAGACAGAATGAGATTACTTGGGCGAAGATTGAAGAGATATTTGGGAAGGAAGAAGAAGAGATTTATCGGCCGAAGAAGAAGAGATATCGATCACTTGTAGGTATTTATATGACCACGAAACCGATGCCATTGGAGAAGAAACGAAGGTCGATGCATTGAAGAAATCTAATAGAGCTTTATAGGAAGTTTAGTTAACTAATAATTGATTTAGAGATTAATGAAATTACAACTATTTGTGTGGAATTTGTAGGAAAATTGAGGACTCTTATCTCTTTTGTCTGCAGGTTATTTAGAGATTAATGAAATTATAAAGTAGGGAATTTTTCCTTATTTAATTTGATGCAATGCCACTCGTCTCAAAATCCTAAAATGCCAATGAAACAAACCTTCGCAAAGTGTAGATAGTAAATCATTTGTTGGGTGTGGTAAAGGTGGTCATAAAGCTTCTGTTTCATAAAGCACATATCATGATTTATTTCAGAGTTTTCTCTTTGTAGGAGAAGCAAACACTACAGTGCTAGCCGCCATGAATATTTCGAGTTCTTTTATCAGTGTCACATTAATTTCTTTGATAGAGGGTTTAATTGAAGTAAACATGAGTAAGTATCCTTAATGCAGAAGTTATTAATTTAAATCTTGTAGGCTAATTTATCCATTAATCAAAGTTTTCCAAGGTCTGTACTTTAAGCTTTTCATATTATGTATGAGAATATATATAAAGAACGTACGATAAAGAAGTTTGTTTTATTTACAAGACCCTTGTCTAAAGCTTCTGGGTGATTAATTACAGAGTAAAAACAAAGTGTACAAAAATCTAGTTATTTATTTCTCAATGTCAGCAGAAACTTCTGTTTTTAAAAATAGTAAGGATGGATTCTTGCTTCTTGTAATTGGCGCTGTCCCGGTGAGAGGGAAAGAGAAGAAGGAAATAAATGTGGGCTTAATTTATTGGTGCTGACAAATGCTGAGAAACCAGATATTACAAAATATTGGTGATTCCTTGATAATTCTTCGATGCCAAATAATTCTGAAGTTTTAACAGTTTTGGTTGCTAAGTCTGCATTCTGCAAGACAAAAACTTAACGGGTTGTCCTAGATATTTTTATTATATATAGTTAATTATTATTATCTCAATGTATAATAAATATATACTTCTTTTATAAACCGAAAATGAAAGATCATTTGGACCAACAAGTGTCTGCATCGCGTGACATTAAACCTCTGACCCATTTCGCTACTGTTCTCAAGCAGTTGCTCGAAGATCATTTTTTGTAAATCATCATTCACATCTTCCCATGTCAAGTACCGGTACCTTTCTTTGATGCCAAGTAACTTCTGAAAGTAAATAAATTCTGTTGATATGTCGTTTAAGCAAAAACTTAAAAGGTGGTATTGACCCATGGATTCTGACCATCTCTCATTATTGTTCGAAAGTAAATCATTCCAACATGCATCATCAGACATAACATGATTGATCAAACAAAGTTTCGTCCAATCAGAGAAAAGAAGTACGATGAATGCATAAGCCTCTAGAGCAATAGCCCCAAGTATGAGTGCATAAGTTATTGAGCCGTCGATCAGTGGATAGACAGACCGATCAATTATGGTTTGGAAGACAACTGATAAAGATAAATGTGGGCAGAGTCAAACACAACGAAGAAAGATACCGAATTCGGAATAAATAATGGTGGCCTTGGAGTAGAGCACATCGTACTTGAATCCAAGCTCAATTGCTATCAATTTGAAGGCTTCTTTTGCGGACTTCTTATGAATGGTGGAGTAGGTATCTTCTCTTTCATAAATCTCTTGAACAGAAAATGAGCTTCAACAAGATCATTTTCCTTTGGCATTTGACGTGATACATCTACAATTGCCGATTACTTTGGATTCTATTTTGCAAATTTGTGCTCTTCTCCTATGATTGTAGCATAATCTGGAACAGGGTCAGGAGCTGGACGCAAGGAGTCTTTAAGTTATTTGGCGCTTGAAGACCTGAACACCAAAGTTCTCTCTCCATACTTGATAATTCCGGTGATAATCATTGGAATCGCTATAAACGTCAATACATTGTTTTCCAGTATTGAAAGAAGATGTAAAACACCACTCCAACTTGGACAACCAGCCCAAGCAAAGGCCTCAAGCACAACTCATTATCTTCTAAGGAGTAAGCCGTGATAGTATCTGGGCCACCAAAATGCTTTGAGTTCGTTATTTGATTTTAACGAATTTTGATCTGAATCACCTAGGCTGCGCGAAAGGATGCCTAGGGCAACTGTTGCCTCAAGCCCGCAGCCAAGTATGCTGACCAAACAAGAAGATTAATCCAAATTCTTTCTGAATATTTTCTCCGGGAACCAAATACGATGAGGGTGATCTGAAGACAAAAGCTTAGCGTAGAATCATCAGATGAGCTTCGTATCCATCCCAAAGTTTTATGACTTTTCTTATGGACAAGTCCATGACCTTCCTTTTCTAGTTAAAGATCGAACTACAACCACCTAACAGCTAAAATAAAATCAATCATCTTATTTTATTAATACATCAATAATTATGGTAGCATTTATATATTGCAGTTTATTGGCAAAAATCAATAAATTTATTATATATCACACTAATTAATTAAAAGACTCTCGTACACTTCACAAACCAAACCAATCTAATTTTTTGATGGGTTACGAAAATGAATAATGTTACACTTACAAATTAATTATACAAACTATTCTTTATAAATTAATGTGGTAATCCTGTATGTTTGACATATTATTTACTTCAATCTATTTAAATTATTTCTAATTTAAAATCATTAAAATATATTAATCTAAGAAAATTTTCACTAAAATTGTAAGAGAACTTGATATGATATCTTTTGAAAAGAATCTCTACCATAGATGTTAATTATGATTACGTAGCATAGAATCCAGGTCGGCTAAAGAGAGGCACATAAGGCAATTACTTTAGGTGTCTCCTAAATCAAGACGTCATTTAAATTTTAATAGAATTAAAATAAATATTAATATATTTTTTTATGTTTCTAATAAGACTTCTCCCATAATAAAGATTTTTATTTAATAGAATATGAACTGTTACCAATTTTGTTTTAGTTTTTAATGCAAATTTCAATATTCACACATCAAATGTTCATATGAAAAAATAATTTTAGTTATACTTTGTGTTGGACGAAAAATAGTAGTCTTAAAGGCCCAAATTAAAGACAAATAAGAGAAGCTCATGGTACATTAAGATGGCCCAACAAAGACAAAAGAGTCAATCTCAAAAGTCAAAAGCCTAGATCCGTTTGAATTACAAGTTGCACCCCACTTCCCTATTCCTAGACACTCCCCTATTCTTAGGGAAGTGGGAAAGAAAAAGAGATATTTTCGTATATAGTAATTTTTACTAATTTTAGTTTCTAAAATATGAAGATTTTGTTCAAAGGACAAATTTAACAATAAAATTACGTAACTTAATTTAATTGCCCTAAATAAAAAATAACAAGTACAAAAATAGCTGTGCACTAGACTATAAAGTTTAGTATAGTCTAGTATGTTCTAATTAGAATATCAAACTATAATGTTAAATGCTAAACTATTAAGTTTTATATAGTCTAGCATAGTATAATGTTATATATTATGAATGTACAATTTGTTATTTCATCAAGGGTATAATTGATAAATTATTAGATTTTACGGCAAAATTTGTCTTATAAATAAAATTTGTATTAGTGAGTTAACTATACATGTTTAAACCCCGAGGAAAAAGGGAACATCTTTTATCAACATACCCCATGATCAAGTAAATGCACTATGATCCTAAACTTCAGGTGCAAGTAACCACGCATGGTCAGGATTCTTTATAAAAGAAGTACAAAGTTGAAGAGAGGGACAAGTCTCCAATTCCACTACACCAATAAGCCAAAATTAGCCCTACTAAGCCTTTAGCAATCATTTGTATTTAGTTTATTTCTTATACACTCTCGTAATCTCCATCAAATCGTATTATTTGTACCTATTGTGATTAAAGAGGCAATAAGAATCATCTCAATTTTTTGGCATCACAATTTTTGCTCAAACATTTAGTGCAAGGAGGAGGGCCTCGACAACTCACAATAGGTGGGTGCACTGCACTGCCTTTTAGTTTACATTAGATGGAAACAAGTTCAAACCATGGCTTGCTTCAGTCATTGGAGGAACAACTGCAGCTGCTTATGGAGAAACAATACAATTAAATCTTGAAGCTTCACGGGCAGCTTCCTAGGGATGTGAAGTTGAAAAATGGCATGATATAGCCAAATGTTGAAGCTTCACAACAAGGTTCCTGAGGACGTGAAGCTGGAAACAAGCACCACACAATGAATTCCTGAAGCTTCGCGACTAGCTTCCTTGGGACGTGAAGCTAAAAACTAGTAAGGTAAAGCCAAATTTTGAAGCTCTTCATGACCAGCTTCTTGAGGATGTAAAGCTAGAAACAAGCATCTAACAACGAATTCCTGAAGCTTCACGACTAGCTTCCGAGACGTCGTGAAGCTGAAATCTTAGGATCCCGAAAGCTTTTAAGATACCAATAGTTGAAACCTGAAGATCTTTAGCCAACTTCTTCGTAGCTAAGAGTCAACAACTTTTGGGCGTAAGCAACTGAAATATGAGGATTCCTGACCAGCTTCTCGAACCGAAAAACGAATCTTAATAGCTTCCAAAGCCAGAAGCTAATCCCAATCAGTTTCGCGAAGCCAGATGCTAATTGGAATACAAATTCATAGCCATTGATTTATTATAATCTAACGGATATGAGATAAAAGTTGAAGGTGATTATTTCGTTGCCACCTCATCAGCTCTTAAACTATTGGATTATAATGGACTAACGGTTGAGAATTTGTGTTAACTATTTTAATATTTTTGATATTTCAAATAAAAAAAAAAAAAAAGGGAAAATGGGTTTAATTTTTTGCTCTCTAATTGACGTTTTACTGCTCCATTAGCACATAGAATATGTCGATAACATTTTGTCATGAAATCAAATTCATATTTAAAGAAGATTGTTAATAGCCTTTGTAATATGCATTGAGGTGTTTCATTTTGGGGAGATATTAATGTTGTAATAAATGTTTTTCTTCTAAATCATTACTTGTTGACCATAAACCACTAAATTTCTATTATATTTAACGCAAATATTAAATAATATCAACTTGATGATAAACTTATGTTAACAAATGAAATCGAAATGTAATTAGAAGAACAAAACCATATATATATATATCCTAATTGAACATTTATATATTTAATAATCTCTTCTG